CGTTGACGTAATACAAAAAAGTCTTTATGTTGAGTTTCTTCAAACGTTATCAATATGCAGACAGAATATCTTTTTTTTAAAGTTCTCAGGAATATGTTGTTCGGCCTCTAAATCCAAAAAGGAAAAAACTGGTAGTTTGCAAAACCAGTTGGTCCTACACTTTGAAGTATCCTCTTTCCGCTGATGAGATTATTGAGTACAGTCGTTTACTGTTTTTGGGGATGATTTTTTGAAAAAGAATGGTACAATAAACACCAGACTCACTCATATATATATATTGTATCATGTTTTAGCTTTAGACAAATCTGTATTTTGTGGTAATCTGGATATACTGAGCGTCAAAATATATCGGGTGCATCATAATAAATGAGCGTCTCAGTATTTTCTATTTCTCTCGTGTTTCTTAGGATCCTACGATTAATATTTTTTTAGAAGATGCGCCATGATAACTCTACAAAGCTGTACCTAAACGTTAATTTCAGAACTACAATCAAGAAAACTACGTAAATTATACAAAAGACGAAAGAATGAAACTTTTGTTAACTTAAAAATGATTTCTTGTGTTAACTTTTTGGAAGTAAGAAAACCTGATTTTCTAATGAGTTATAAAACCCTTAAAATAAGAATACGAGCTCACCAAACCCATGATAACATGAATTTCAGAAAATCAACCAATGACTGCTGACTTGCTAGTAAATCTCTTAAGGAAGCATAAAAAAATCACACGCAGCATCGACTACTATTCCGCAGTTACAGAATATTTCATTTTATACTAGTTTGTTATATACAACTGATATATATCAAACTTCGTTTTCTTTTCTAATTGTTTGTACTTCTTCAAAGACAATCAACCGCCGTGTTTCGAAAGATTATTCATTTATCAAACTAGCAACAACACATTTAAAGGAAAAAAAGAACATTTGTGTTTTAGTTTATTCTACTGTCGTACTGCTTGGGCTTTCTTACGAGGGAACGTCTCGAGGTTATAAATCTCTTTTTGGTCGAAATCGAGTAGGTTATCGACCATGCTAATTCTGAATATGATTATGGGAGTTCCCATGGTCGTCCGAAGATCTGCTTTTCTGGATAACCAGTTTTTCAGAAACTCTTAATAATAACCAAAAACATTCTTATTGAGATATAATTGTAGCCCAAAAATTTCTGATCAAAATGAGACATCTCCCAGCTCTGCATGATGTTTCTTTGCAAAGTTATAGAATTCACAGGAAAAGCCCTAAATGTTCGAAGCTACAGAAATAAGAAGAAATTAATTTAGGGCGTTTTTTCTAAATTCTATAACTCTGCAAAGAAAGGTCGCTTAGAGGTGGGAGATGTCTCATTCTAATCAGAATTTTGTGTTCTACCATCATGACTTATTAAGAGAAAGTTACAATAAAAAGTCCTAAATTAATTTCTTCTTATTTCTGTAGCTTTGAACATTTAAGGCTTTTCTTGTGAATTCTATAACTTTGCAAAGAAACATCATGTAGAGCTGAGAGATGTCTCATTTGATCAGAAAATTCCGGGCTACAATTCTATCTCATTAAGAAGGTTTTTGACTATTATTTAGAGTTTCTGAAAAACTGGTTTTCCAGAAAAGTGGATCTTCGAACGACCATGGGGAACTCCCATAACCATATTCGGGATCAGCATGGTCGATAACCTATATCCCACTCAATTTCGATCAAAAAGCGATTTATAACCTCGAGAGGTTCCCTCGTTAGATTGACGGATACTTGATCCTAAAGTGGAGCAATTCTTGCTTGTGCTACCGAATCAGAACTGTTGAGAAGCCTGAAGTTCGACGTTGTGGAGCAGCCGGTGTTTTGTTTGTAATTGTATTTGCTGTTCATCATGTAAGTGATGAAACCTGATGTAATGATCTGTCATTCAGAGATGAATTATTCCATTTTCTTTCTATATACTGCCGAAAGCTTGTGGTCATTTCATCTTTTCCAGGCGAATTCGTCGACGATTCTGGATTAGGATTGTGGAAATGGGCCAAACCTGTATTACGTGCACTAAGTTCATCCGATCGCCGTCAGCCCTATACACCTGTTGCATACAAACTGCTTCGCAATCATCCACTATTACTTATGTCACAATGTGACCAAGAAAAACTAATGTCTCATCCGTTATGCACAGCATTACGCTCAGCCAAATTTCGCCGATTTAGTCGATGGTTACTCATTCTGGTCTTTCTTAGTTATATAATATCCATGGCTTTGTATACGGTTGTCGTTCTCCAAACAATACATCCACAATATTACTATGAGCTTTATAACTCATCCGGGCATACTTCAGGTCAGCTTATCAATTGGGATTATGGATTCAGTAGTGATTTGTGTCGACAAGTAGGAATCTATTTAGTTCAATCTGGAAATAATAATGCACTAAAGACTACACAACAGCAAGGATTTATACAGGCGCTCTATATTTTATTAATAGTATTCCTGATTAAAAATGTTCTTTTCATACTTGCCTCATTTCCACGTTTTATTCGTAAAATGGCGTACTATACAGAAGGTCTCGCTTTAATATTGATATATCTGTATATCAAAGACGACAGTTCGTGGCAAAAATCGCTTAACTTTCGATGTCCAATTCAATGGGAACTGGTAAGCACACTATCACTAATGGATTGAAATTGTAGTAGAATAGTTTCCTATGAACAGACTTCCAAAAAGAATTGTTTTTCGTATTGATCAGTACAAAAAGTGAAACATTCGGTTCAAAGAACTAAAGATTGAACTTTATACCCATGCAAAACATTGCAATCATTGATAAAATATGCTATGCTTAAAATCAACTTGATGTCTAAATTGTTTCATATTCTAAGCTTAAGTTTTGACCTCAAGAGATTGTAAGTTCAGTTTCGCATTTTCTTAAATTTCTATTTGATTGAATATTTTCTTATTGAACTTTCATATACTTGTTTCCGATATCAATACTAGTTTTATCATTTACTGTTTGTAGGGCTCAATTGGTCTTCTGCTCTCTTGGTTGTCATTGCTCTCGTATATGCGCTATCTTCCTTGGATGGACGTAGGTCTTTATGTTGTCATGCTTGAAGTTATCTTTGTGAAATTTATTCGAGCAGTACCTCTTTTAATGGTACTTTTATGTGGCTTTGGTTTCACTTATTATATGCTACTTCAGTATCAACCTGTCTTTGAAACACCATTTGAAGCAATGTTTCGCACGGCATTGAGTCTATTCGATTTAGGATATGAAAGTCGACTTTACAACCCAACGACCGGTGTCATGTACTATCCAGTAATTTATTTTGTTTTTATTCTCACTGAAATTATTCTAAGTATTCTCATCATCAATATGCTGATTGGTAAGCTAATTCTTTTTGAACTTCCATACATTCATATGATATATCAATTCAGGTTTGGCCGTGGGAGAAATCCCAACATTGAAAACGCAGGCAAAACTTCAACGAAATAAGATGTTATACGAACTATACTTCGATTATGAAATTTTTCATCTTCAATTGAAAATATGTGCACGATTTTTTTTGTATCTTTTACAACGCTGTGCGTGTTGTCGATGTTCTGACTCAAATATTAAATCAACTCGTGCAAAACCGTCCGCCTGGTTATGTGAAGTCCATGTGAACGATGAAATCGATGATGATCAATCGCCAGATGCTGAAAGTTATATTATGAAATTTTTCAAATGGATTCGACATACCATTACGGAAGATGACATTCAATCGCTAATAATCACCGAGAGAAATTACAAGAAACATCATCGAGAGATGGAAAAGCAGAAAGACAAAGAAGATAATGATTGATGATGCTTGAATTATTCATGATTTTGATGTTTGTTGGTTTTTCTCTTTTAGAATAAATCCAGAATTTTAGGTGACTTGTTGATTTTCTTGCTAAAAATATCCAGAAATGAGTGATGAAAAAAATTCATGATTCATATTTCAAAATGATCACTCTTAGTATCAAAAGCATAGCCAATTTCTTCCATAGAGCTATTGATCATATACAGATCGGTTCGATGCAACATTGCTGATGTATGTTTTCCTGCAAAACGTGTCTGTAAGAATCGTGTTTCTTGAGGCTGAGATTAAGCTGCCGTGACCAGTTTCACCTCAGCTACGAGGATCTACAGATGGCTTGTCTATTGGAATTAATAGATCCAAACAAAGATATATTCACATTGTTCCCTCGATTTAAGGGAAGATATACGAAAAAACATTGAATTGAGGTTGTGCGTCTGTCGTCAGGCCAAAGATCAAAGGTCAAAAATCAAAGATCATTTGTAAAACTTGTTCATGGGTGCGGAATCCGAATCTGCTATTATCATGAAAATTCCGAGAATAGCATCGAAATCTCGGAAATTTTGGGAGTACGTTGGAAATCCCATGAATATCAGGAGTACAACGGGAATCCCGAGAATACGGAATCCGATGTTTCCTCCTTGAAAATACCAGTTAAAAAGACAAAAAATGGTTTTCCCAGAATAGTGTTCTCTACCCTACCTTAAGTGACTCAAGTTTTTTCAGTTTGAAAAATATATGGTTTTGTAGCACTTGAAAATGACTATCAAATAACGAGGGACCTTTCTGAGGTGACACACTCCGTTTTATTTCATTTGCCTGTCGATCGATAGCATACATTGAGATAGTAAAATGCCTAAGTGAATATGGTTCCTTATTGCTTCTTTTAAAAGTTATAGCGGTTTGTCTATTTTCATCAGCGGAAAACTCGAAAAATTAAAAAATTCATAACTCAGACGAAATGCTACCTAGGCTCTTGAAATTTTCAGCGCTAATAGATATTAGCCAACTCTAATCATTCTGAAAATTTCAAGGTACTACATTGCTTTCTTACAAAGATCCAGAATTTGCAATTCTAAAGGGAATTTAGTTTACATTATTTTTGGCTATAACGGCAAATTCGTGATTGAATTAATTTCATTTATAATATTCTTCCTTCTTCTTATCGTTTCTATTATCTTTGCTTTTTTATCAGCCAAGAATGCATTCATACTACTCGTTAACTTTTGTAAAACGATAATAAGCTTCAGTGTTTCAATTAATAAGTGTACGGAGGTTTTGGTGATGTTGTGTCACTCAGCTTTTCTTCATTTGTTTTTGGTATTAGTTTTGTTTTTCGGCGGACTGTATCGTGTGTTTTCGAGTTAGCGGTTTGTTTATTGATTGTTTGGAAGTTCTTTTCAGAGTAAGTCTTTCTGCAGTTCGAAATGAAGGAAGAACTGCCGAAAGGGTTGGCAATGACTTGTTCGTTGATGTTGATTAGAATGTTTAGTGTTGACGCGTATCTCGCCGTCTGCTAGCTTGTCCGACTTGCTCGTTTTGGGGATATTTTGAGGGCGTGTTTGTTTCTTAGATGCCAGCCAGAGTTAGCTTTTTAAACTTCCCGAGCGGAGCCAGAGAAAACTACTTGTGAACTTTGGGAAGAAGTAATACGAAAAATATATTTTCCTTATTTTGGACTATTTTCAAACGATTAAAAGTTTTTCACAGTGACTTCTAGACGTATCAAAATCAGTTTTAAGTAGATAACTCGAGTAGTTTTATCCAACCATACCGAAGACAACAAAAATCATTTTCTGTAAGATGCAAATTTCGCGCACCGTACATGTCGGGTTCGTTAGCACCAGGATCTTTCAGTCAAGGGTTAGTGAATCGAAGATG